ATATCCATCAACACACTGGATATTAAACATATCTTATTCAATACCAGCCCTATTATTAAGCTACAGGAAACAACCAAAACCACCTTGAACATTGTTTTCCTCTGTGAGACTCAAAGTTATACAAGGGTTTGATTTAATTTGAGAAACTGTATACATGACAGGTAGATACTTGACAAAACCTTTCTAGGTTAGATTGGTAGACACCATATTCACTGTAGAATTTCAGCTAAATATGGGTAGAAATTTAGATTATTTACCATTTTTAAGAATACATTCAATCAGGAAAACTTGAGTAGCTCCAAATGAAAAATTATAAGCTAATGACAAAGTGTCAAGTTTGGATGAAGGGAGCTCTAGTTAAGTTTGCATTTACCATCAATATAGATGAGTACTTAGATTTTCAGTTTTATCATCAAGTCTAGTTTAGTTCTGTTTTTGCTTGTTTGTTTTTTCATGAAAGAATAAATCGAGACTTAGACAATGTAAGTAACTTGCAGAAAATTCCAAAAAAATGGATCACGAGTGAGAAGTGACTGCATAATCACAAGCCACTGTCCCTGATGGTCTAGTCCCCACTGGTGCTTCATGAAATTCATGGGTTAGGCTGTGTGGTATTTTACTAGTTCCATTCCACATTCAAAGTCTTCTTACGTGTTTATTTCTGTTAGTTTGGCACAGGGGTAAGAGATGGAGTTTTGTGTTTCTTGTGACAGTGTGCATTTCTTCCTCACCTCTAATGGCATTTCCCTTTTGCTTCACAAATGCATTTAAAAGTCTGAAACTTCAGAGTTGCTTTAGATCAATGTCATCACAGCATTGCCCGGTGGAATGCTAGCATCTCTAGCCTCAGCCTCCCTCGCCTCGCCCAAAGAGCCATAGGCAAATACATTTGATCTCAAACTGTCACAAAATATCAGTGTCTACTTGGTGTCTTTCATTCCGAAGAGCATGTTTGCTTAATGGATTATTTCTAGGACAGAGTTATGTGTTCATATTCAAAAATAAAAGTGTTTTCTGGTTCTTACATCTCTGAATAATCCTCTCTCCTCCCCACTACCTCGCCCTCCTCCTCTTCCTATCCTTTAATTGAAATTCTTTCCTTTCTTTTCAATATCTGTAAGGTGAAAGGTTAAATCAAAAATTGAATAGATAAGTAAATTTTACACACATTGAACCTTAAAACACCATCTAAGTTATACCTTTCGTTATTCAATTGATGCCCTGAACTGATGGGAAAATATTTCAGATTCATAGGACCATGGAGTGGTCCATAAGACATATCTCCATTATCAATTTGGACTTAGGTATTATCTTGATTCTTACACTGGACTGAAGCTTATTTTGTGACTGGGTTCATCCCAGGCCTTTAACCCATCACCATGCACATCAGTGGATTTTCAAAACACAAACCTCCTGTAAGGCTGTAAACGGAACAATAGAATTGAGAAGTATGAAGCATGAATAAAGGAAGTTTTCAGTGGCTTCATCTGGCCAGGCTCAAAGTTCATTCTAGCATCTGAACTGCTCAAGTCTGTGCCTTATCAGGAATGAGACCCTGTGTGCCACCTGCAGCTGGAGTATGCATTTCCAGGAGGATCAGTGAACATAGAGGGCTGGATTTTTATGTCTTTGTCTCTGATAAGATGATAAACTAATTTCTAGCCCCTAAGTAAATTTGCCTTGAAGTCAGGAAAGGCATTATTATTTTTGTTAACATATAATTCTTTGCAAATAATTTTTACACATCACTACATGAGCTGAAGTGAAGAGGTCAGATAGAATATATAACTTTTTCATTTGAAATGAGTACTGCAACAAGTTAATTACTTTCCATTCCCAGGAAGCTGAGCAGTCAGTTTCTGGATAGCAAGAGGGACTCAGCTGCCTGTCTGTTTTGCTCATTGATCAGCTGAGGACCTAGCAGGGGTAGTTATTACCACCCTACACTCAGGGCATACCTCAGAGCACAGGATAAGTGGAACCCCAGAGGCTGAAGAAGGCTGGGCATGCTGACTTAGGGTCACTCCAGAGACTCAGCTCTCTGGTGACAGCTTTTAGGCAACACACTGAAGGACCCAGACACAGAATCTGCTGGAGGCTGAGCTTTGTCTTGGATATGCATTCTGCTTCAGGAGGGCTGGTCCATAAATCAGAGGCTCAAGTCTGTCTAAGTCAGACTCTGGGAGGCCTAGGCAATTGTCTTCACTGGGCCTCTGCGCCAGGTGATTAGGGGCCTTGCAGGGAGGTGCTCAAAGCCTAAATTATATAACAGCCATTAATTAGGCCAGCCAAAACTTGAAGTAGGGAAATAATGAATGGAATTAATTTATAATGTACAGCAGGCAGTCTGCCCAAACGTTTTGGTCCAGGATCATAATTAAAAGCCTACATCGTCTC